GCGTGTCTTATGGATTAAAATAAGGTATAAAAATTGTCTTAGCTTGAAAACTGTCAAAGTTATTTGCAGTTATAGGAAAATACAATATACTAAGAAATTTACTCTGTACCAAAAATTGCAATGATATCCCAATTTTAAGAATAAAGATTTATGAATAAGCGATATGTCAAAAGAAAGTGCGTTTCCTATGGATAAAAATGAGGTATACAAAACTGTCGTAGCTTGAAAACTGTCAAAGTTATTTGCAGGAATAGGGAAAATACAATATACTAAGAAAATTACTCTGTACCAAAAATTGCAATGATATCCCAATTTTACTAATTTTAAGGACTTAAGATTTTTGAATAAGCGATATGTCAAAAGAAAGTGCGTTTCTTATGGATTAAAATGAAGTATACAAAACTGTCGTAGCAGGAATAGGGAAAATACAATATACTAAGAAATTTACTCTGTACCAAAAATTGCAATGATATCCCAATTTTACCAATTTTAAGGACTTAGATTTTTGAATAAGCGATCTGTCAAAAGAAACTGCGTTTCTTATGGATTAAAATGAGGTTTACAAAACTGTCGTAGCTTGAAAACTGTCAAAGTTATTTGCAGGAATAGGGAAAATACAATATACTAAGAAATTTCCTTTACAAAAATTGCAATGATATCCCAATTTTAAGAATAAAGATTTATGAATAATCGATATGTCAAAAGAAAGTGCGTTTCTTATGGATTAGAATGAGGTATACAAAACTGTAGTAGCTTGAAAACTGTCAAAGTTATTTGCAGGAATAGGGAAAATACAATATAAGAAATTTACTCTGTACCAAAAATTGCAATGATATCCCAACTTTAAGAACTTAAGATTTTTGAATAAGCGATATGTCAGAAGAAAGTGCGCTTCTTATGGATTAAAATGAGGTACACAAAACTGTCGTAGCTTGAAAACTGTCAAAGTTATTTGCAGGAATAGGGAAAATACAATATACTAAGAAAATTACTCTGTACCAAAAATTGCAATGATATCCCAATTTTAAGAACTTAAGCAATATGTCAAAAGAAATTGCGTATCTTATGGATTAAAATGAGGTATACAAAACTGTTAAAGTTATTTGCAGGAATGGGGAGAATACAATATACTAAGAAATTTACTCTGTACAAAAAATTGCAATGATATCCCAATTTTACCAACTTTAAGAACTTAAGATTTTTGAATAAGCGATACGTCAAAAGAAAGTGCGTTTCTTATGGATTAAAATGAGGTATACAAAACTGTCGTAGCTTGAAAACTGTCAAAGTTATTTGCAGGAATAGGGAAAATACAATATACTAAGAAAATTACTCTGTACCAAAAATTGCAATGATATCCCAATTTTAAGAACTTAAGCAATATGTCAAAAGAAATTGCGTATCTTATGGATTAAAATGAGGTATACAAAACTGTTAAAGTTATTTGCAGGAATGGGGAGAATACAATATACTAAGAAATTTACTCTGTACCAAAAATTGCAATGATATCCTAATTTTACCAATTTTAAGGACTTAAGATTTTTGAATAAGCGATATGTCAAAAGAAATTGCGTTTTTTATGGATTAAAATGAGGTTTACAAAACTGTCGTAGCTTGAAAACTGTCAAAGTTATTTGCAGGAATAGGGAAAATACAATATACTAAGAAATTTACTCTGTACCAAAAATTGCAATAATATCTCAATTTTAAGAAATTAAGATTTTTGAATAAGCGATATGTCAAAAGAAAGTGCGTTTTTTGTGGATTAAAATGAGGTATACAAAACTGTCGTAGTGTGACAAAACTTTACTTCTAAGTGGAAATGGCACGCAGGTGGTTGCACGACGCTAGCTCGTCGGAATTGGTAGGTTCTTTCCACTACAGTTGGTCACATTTAAATCTATCGTGCCAATGTAAAACCGATCAGTAACATATAGTAATCACGAATTCACCATGGAGTTGAAGTTTCTGTTAAACGGACGGACAGATGACAATAGTCTTAACAGCAATCTATGCAATAGACGGTTACACGGAGTCCTTGAAGGAATAGATGTTACAACCTTCGCGGGTTGCCCTCCCCTGACATGACATTATCCCAGTCATCCTTGGTTCCTGTTCACCCGTACTTGAAATTCTAAGAACCCCTAGATCAAACTTACCAGTTCACTATGATTCACATCATTACCTCTTTCCTTTTTATCCTTGCATTGTCAAACACTATGAATATGTTTTCAGATTTCAATCTTAAAAATAGACATTGATTTATTCAAATAACAAAAAAATAAACTTCTAACAATAATAATTAACAACAGAATTATAATATTTAAAACAAATGAGTAACTTAACAAGTTTAGTAAAAGTGGATGATTTTATGATCACAAAAGTTTATATTTATATACATGCATATATTTATAAATGTTGAGATTCTTTTACAATTTCCTTATTTATGTATAATTAAGATAAATGTAAAAAAATGTTTTTATATCAACGATATACCTTTGTTTATTTATATATTAATTTGTTTATATATTTATTTAGCTATAAATTTATTTATTTATTCGTGTATATATTTATTCATATATTTATTTATTTACTTATTTATTTATTTATTTATTTATTTATTTATTTGTTGATATATTTATAAATTTATTTATTTATTAATATATTCATTAATTTATTCGTTTATTTATTTATTTATTGTTAGTTTAAATATTTATTTTTATATTATTTATTTATTTATTTATTATTTATTGTTGATATATTTATAAATTTATTTATTTATTAATATATTCATTAATTATTCGTTTATTTATTTATTTATTTATTATTTGTTAGTTTAATATTATTTATTTACTTATTCATTCATTCATTTATTTGTTTATATTTTTTAATTTTGTATTTATCTATTTATCTATTATTTATTTATTTTTATAGTTATCTATTTGTTTATGAATTTAAATATTTTGATGTAGAGTGTGGTGAAACGTGGCTTCAAATATTCTAATAGCATAAATAAACACATCGTAATTTTTTTTATATTTGAAAATTATTATAATGTTAGTAAAGTATTATATTTTGATTTGCTTATTGACTAGATTATTAGGTATAACTATTTTTTTTTTGTTTGACTTAACTAAACTAATTCTTGTAAAAAAAATACTTTGTTTTCTTTTATTTTCATATATATTTTTTTGGGATTTCCTCTTTATCCCTGAACTATTGGTAAGATTCGTATTATGATTTATGAATTAGTTTAGTTAGAGTTATTAATAAATTTATACAAAGGAAAATAGTTTGTTGTATATCGTGAATCTAAGGTAAATGTATTTTTATATGGGTGGATATATTTGCACACACATAGACTTGTGTACATACCTACATATATATATATGTACACATATACATATGTATATACATGTATATACTTTTATATTTTCTTTTATATTTTGATTTCTTTTTTTCTTTTATGATTAATAGGAAATTAATTAGATCGTAATGATTACAATAGAAGTTAATAAATATCAGACTTATTATATAATTGCTTAAAAAAAAATTAAGGTTAAATTTTTAGTTTTTTATATATTTTCTTTTTATATATATATATACTCGAACACACATTCTTTGTACACTTATATACTCTACATATACACTACATTTATATATCTATATATATAATACAGTAACACGTCATTCAGTCAATACATAACGGTTGTGGATCACGTTTTCCTTTCTTATATAGTATATGTTGTAATCACGGTCATCGGATATGACCTTTATAGGTCAATTAGGTCGTTATAATGTCACCAGGTCAATTTTCTTTTGTGCTTACCCAGTTCTTTTTAGTTTGTCACCAATGTTAAAAAAACCTGTATTTTCAGCCTTGGATTTGTCTGGCGTTGTCCGTGCTGTGTGGTGAATTATAACGCTTCTGTATGGTTTTTATCTTTGCTATACAATCTTCGGTATCTTAACACTAGATGGCACTGCAACATTGACAAAATCACCTTCGTAAGAAAAACCAAAATTAATCAACATCCAGTATTTTCCTTGTTTCAATTTGATCATTTAATTTTATACAAACGTCACAATATAATATTCAACGCATAATTAATTCAATAATTATGTGTATTTGTATAAATATTACATAATCAGTGGAATATGTTAAAATTATTTGATTCATTTTCCGAATTTGTTTCATACCTTTTTTAAATATTTATTTTATTGAAGCACTAGTTTAACAGTATTTATTAAAGATGGTGTTATATTTTTTTTATAACTTTGAATTTAATCAATATCACAATTTTCAAATATTTTTACAATAACTTTCATTGGGTTATTTGAGCAAGCACACACTTCGATATCCAATTGTGTAATGATTAATGTGATCTTGTAAAAATGTGTGATTAAGCTTATGTACACATACCATTCCCTTAACTCCCCTCTATTCCCTAATTTTCCTGTTTTTTTACCTTTTTCAATAACATTTTAAGGTCGTTCCCTGATTTTTCGTCAGGTCTGTTATTGTGAATGACCCTTTATCCCCTAAGGAAACGCTACTGCCCTCTATACGTCAATACCCTTTTATGAATATCCATCACGAATGTCAAACAACAATGAAAAAGAAACCGTAGTGTAGAGTTACGAGCGCAGCTGATTGTTATTTGTTTATGTTTTACAAACAAAAATCTAATAAAAGAATATTTTTTAGTGTTTTATCCTTCAAATAAACAGACGTTACCGTCACAAAGCCTGCTTTTGTCTCGATACCCGTGGAGTGATCTAAAGCAGGGAACTAGACGAAGTTCGGGAACGTCTTAGTGTTCAATTATTATACTTTGTATACAAAAATAAATTATGCTAAAGCTCGACCTGGATCTTGAAAAGTTTTGTACTACTCAATGTGTGTCCATGATCTTTCAAGGTTGTCAATGAACATAAACAAAAATAAATTGTTTCAAAGTTAATTTTCGTTAATTTGATGAATTATGTGGATTATATTACTGAGTTGCAGTATTATTAAACCTAATCAAGAATATCTTGGCTCCTATTCTTGTTATTATAGAATCGGGAGTATGTTGAAGAACAGTTATGGTGAGTTTCATCAAGGTTTATGGAATATTATTTGTCCCTACTACCTAACACTCTTCCTTTCATAGATGTTTGCGGTGACTTAGTAACAACTTGGTCAGTCCATCTACCTAGCGTATAGTGACAAGTTCCAAATGGTATCTTACTTTTTCCTCTCCTTAATTTTCTATTCATCTCTGATAATATTTCATAGGTATTTACCATCTCCATACAGAGAGGTCTATAACCGACTTGCCTTATGGAATCTACTGACAGTTGAATGAAAGGGTGAGTGAATTCTAAACGGAAAAGTTCATAGATAATATTCGACTTTACCAACTTTCAATTTATGTCAATTGTGATTGTTTAACTGTTTCATTATGCTGTTTAAGGTAATCTAGTCGTTTGAAACTTAGTTATCATAAGATTAGTTAATATATTTCTCGAATTGTACAATCTTTCGTTAATTTTCATCAATTGCCGAATCTCTCATCTAGATTTTGTTTTGTAATCTCCGTATTCATTTCAAAATTTTGAATGTAAATGTTGTTCTAAAATGAAAAAGAACTATAAAAATTTTGATTTCCAGAACATTGCTGAAATGTAAAAATTGTTTATGAATACGGAATTAAATGTTTTTTAGCAAATATAAGATGAAATAAAACACATTTTATTTCACTTTGTATTAGATTCGAATTAATGAAAAATTGTTTCATTCAAGGATTGTGCGAATTCTGTTCCGATAGAAGTATTTGGATAAAAGAAATTAGCTTTTGTTTAGGATGGTTTTATGTGATGAATACTAGGCTTTTTGTGTTAGTTATTAGTTTGTGATTTTAGTGATAATAGCTCTGTCTATAAGGTGATATTCGTTTCGGTCTATACAGTCCTAGTTGTCACTAGCATTTTAAGAAATTTAAAGAAATTTTGTTATTTATCATTGTACTAAAAAAAAATTGGAAAAAATATGTATTAAACATAGTTGTCGAAAATTTAGTGGTCAGACTTTACACATTGATGTGTTTCCTTACTTAATCGTAAAATCAGATTTCTTCACTTAACTGAACTATGAAGTTGATATTTGGTAATGTATTCTGTATAACGAGATACCTTTATGTGTAGTTGTCGGTGAAAATCTTTCTTTGGAAACATTGAGTTTTATTTTCCCTTGGTTTCTTATTCTGTAGCAAAGTATGTTATCAAGCTCGATTCTTATAATTCTAATGTAGAATATTCAAATTACAACTGCTACTACTGCTTCAAATGTTGTGCATGTATCACTCCGATGAGTTGTCTTTTTAAGTTCTCCACCTCGTATTGGCTAATTCCAACTTTTTTTCTTATTCTGCATTTTAGCCATGGTTTACAGAGTTTTGCATTTATCCCTTTTGCAAAGTTACTTTGTACAAAATTTTTACGGTAAACCTCCTGTCCTTCTTTAAAAGATATATCCTTAGTCCTTTTGTTATATGATCTCACGTTTCTTTCGTAAGCTTTGTGCAAATTATCCTTTATTTTGTTGTGTATGATTTTCATCTGGTCTGATTTAGGCATTATCAGAGTTTCACCATCCTCAATTGAATTTAGCTTCCTTAAGATTTCATATGCGTCCGCGTGGGTAATCATATTGTAGCCAGTTAAGGCAAAATAAGGTGTAACTCCTAAAGACGTGTGTATTGTTGACCGTAATGAAAGTTCGATTTTACTGAGATTCTCATCCCATCTGGATTGGTCGTTTTGCAAGAAGCTTCTAATACCGCTGATAATGGACTGATTTACTCTCTCGCTAGCATTAGCTTGGGGAGAGTGTATTGGGCTTCTAATGTGTTTTACACCAAACGTTTCCAATAATTCCTGAAAGGCAATAGAGGTAAATTGTTTACCATTGTCAGAGTGCACTTGCTCTGGAACGCCAAACTTATAAAAAACTTCTTCTACTAAAAACTTATTAACTGCTTTGGTTGAAGCTTTGGGTAAGGCCTTTAATAGAACAAATTTTGTTTTATGGTCTAATACAATGAAGATATAGGTGTTTCCAGATTTGCTTCTCGGGTATGGGCCAAGGAAATCTATATATATTTTTTGAAAAGGCCTTTGTGTCATCACTTCCTTTCCCATTTTTGGTCTTAGAATTTGTTTCGGGTGCTTGATTTCTTTGCAGGTTTCGCAAGACTTAACAAAATTATGCACGTCTTTGACTATTGACGGCCAATAGAAATATTCCCTGATGTTATACAATGTTTTGGCCACACCTCCATGTGAGGTATTATCAATGTGTGACTTTTTCAATATATTCATTGTCAATGTCTCCGGCAACCATATTTTCCAGCAACTTTCCTCATTTTCTTCATCTCTATGAAATCCTACCTTTTTGTACACAACATTATCCTTAATTTTTATATCTGGTAATCTATCAATGTTTTGTTCTACTGTTTCGATTAGAGTTAAGTATTTAGGATTTTTAAATTCCTCTGAGTTAAAGTCAATTAAGCCAATTCGTTCTAACGTTACTTCTTCCACTTCCAGTCTTGATAGCATATCCGGTACAATATTTTTATTTCCTTTTCTGTGTTCGATATCGAATTTAAATCCCTGCAGTTTGAGACTCCATCTGGCCAGTCTTCCATTCAGGTCTTGTTGTTTCATTAGCCATTTGAGGCTCGAATGGTCTGTGATCACAGTAAAGTCCATTAATTCGACATATTGCCTAAATTTTTCGATAGCTAATACAACCGCGAGGCATTCTTTTTCAGTTGTCGAGTAATTTTTTTGCGCTGTGTTGAGTTTTCTAGAGAAGTACTCTATTGGGTGTTCACCATCGTCCTCGTCTTTTTGAAAAAGGACAGCTCCTACTCCGACATTTGATGCGTCGCATTGTATGAAAAATTTTTTGCTGAAATCTGGACTAGAAAGAATGGGCCTAGATACCAAACGTTGTTTTAGTTCTTCGAATGACTTTAACGCTTCAGGGGTTAGGATGAATTTGGGTGATTTTTTGAGGGTATCAGTTAATGGAGCGGTGATAGTGGAAAAATCGTGTAGAAATCGACGATACCAGCCTACGGTTCCTAAGAAACTTCGGACTTCTTTCGGACTTTTAGGTGGACTCATGTTCATGATGGCTTCAATTTTACTGGGATCTGGCTTAAGCTTGCCTCCACCGACTATGTAGCCTAAATATTTCAGTTCCTTGTGGCAGAACTTGGATTTTTCCATATTTATGGTTAGGCCCGCCGCAGACAACTTTTCACCTACTATTTTAAGCATCTCCATGTGTTCTTTAAAGTTTGGCGAAACTACTAGAAGATCGTCTAGGTAAACAAATATTCTGTCCTTGAGTTCTGACGGTATTACCTTGTCCATAAGTCGACAAAGACGTTGTGCAGCATTACATAATCCGAAAGGCATTACCTTGAACTGGTAATGGGGTCTACCTTGGACTGTAAAAGCTGTTTTGGGTCTACTAGATTCCTCTAACGGGATCTGCCAAAATGCATCCTTTAAGTCAATGGCCGATATGTAATGCGTGTCCCCAAGTCTAGCGAGCAAACCATCAATATTTGGGAGGGGGTAAGCGTCCTTCTTAGTCACTTTATTCAGTTCCCGTGCATCTAAACACAAGCGATTTTTGTTGGGCTTAATCACCAGTGTGGTTCTGTTGTTCCAATCAGCTTGTTTGGCTATTTCAATAACATCGAGCTCTATCATCCGATCTAGTTCAGCGTACGTGAGTTTTTGTACCGCTGGACTAACAGGGTAGTAACGCATCTTTTTGGGTTGAGCTTCTCCAGTATCAATGATGTGTGTTTCCAGTGTGGTTTTACCCAATCCAAACTTTGTATAGCATCTAAATGACAGCTTCACTTGTTCCAATATTTTCTTTTCTTGTGATGACAACATGTGGACTTTATCGTTGTTGGCTGGTTCTCTGGTGATTTCTTCTACTCTAGGACTTGCTAGACAGATTTTTATCCCGACATGTTGCCAAAAGTCGTACCCTAATATAAGTTCCTGCTTCAAATTAGGAATCAAATACAAAACAACATCTTTATTTGCCGAACCGAATTTTATTGTAACTTTTACTTTCCCTATTATACATTGATCTGTACCATCGGCAGTTTTTATTGATGATTTAAAATCCAGAATCTTGCACTTCATTTTTCCCACATTTTCCAAACAATTCTTTCCTAAACAACTAATAGAGGCTCCACTATCCATTAACCCTTTGAGAAACACTCCATTTACCACTACATCCATATACGGTCTGATGTCAATATCTGAATCTAGTGATGTTGCAGCGATTTCCTTTCTCTCAAACTTTCTTTTCATATACCTCTCACGTGTTTTCTCGATTTTCTTACTTGTTTTGTATTCAACATCATTAAATATTCTATTTCTCGTCTTATTATAATTTTCTAGACGTGCATCGTAGGACAACAAATAGTTTGGATTTGAGCTAATTGCTTTAGATTTGACGGTTTCGGTTACTTTGCATATAGATGTAGGCATGTGTTTATCTGTTTCTTGCATGTTGTTTTTAGGGGTTGATGGTACTTGAGTTGAAGAGATTTTTGTAATGATTTTGACTGGTTTAGGTTCGAACATGCCGCCCCAGCTTACACCATGTTCGTCTATTTGTTTCCCGAGCATTTCGGGCATTTGGGCGTGATGACGTTTTCGAACCCACATTTGTAACAAAATAGGTTACGTTTTTCGGAATCGCATTCAACAAATGAGTGTCCAGGAGTCTTACAGTTCCAACAAATCAACTGTCTGGCTGGTGGTAGATTCATTCTCAGTGCCTCAATGTTATGTTCAGAGTTTGTTGGGACTTCATTGAACTCGAGTTCATTTACTCTGCGAGTGTTGTACTGCCTATGGTTATTTCGTTTGCTTAAGTTCCTTTCAGCACGCCTACACTCTTCCAGCAAATGATCAAAAGTATTAATGGGAATTGGATATATTAATTGATATATTCCGTCTTTTAAATTGTCTTTAACGATGCGGACAAGTTCGTCTTCTCTTACTCCACGGCTGAGCTGGTTTTTCAACGCAATAATTTCACCAATAAAAGCTTCTGAAGATTCGGAGGGATGTTGTATGCGCTCCATGATACATCTCTGGATCTCAGAATCGCTTTCAAACCGTCTGAATTTTCTTATTAGATGATGTTTGAGTTGTGTCCACTCACAAAAAGGGTTTTCACGACGGAAAGTCCAAAACCATTCATAAGCACTACCGGTCAAGAGGTGGTGAAATCCTTTCATGAGAGTTGACATCGGACAATTATAGTCTACTTGCAGTGATTCAACCCTAAACACAAAATCCTCAACAGTAAATGATTTTCTACTGCCATCAAACTTTATACCCCATTTTTCTAAGTCAATAGGTGCAGTCATTCTTGGGTTAGGGTACATGTTAATATTGGGCAATGCTTGTTGTCGCTGGTCTCTTACCTCAAATGGTCTCGGTTGAGAACTGCAGAATGGTCTTGGTGGTGGTTGCGTATTTGAGTCATTTATTGTACCAAAAGACATATTTCTTTCAGCCCTCATTACGTCCTGAACAATGCGAGGTACGAGCTGATGTAACGTTTCAGTAATTTGCCCTAAAACCTGCGCCTGAGATGCGCCGACTGATGCGCTAACATAGTCTCTTAATGTTAGGCCCTCATTGTTAATAACAGTTTCGTTTGCATCTTCTATATTCTGGCTAAGCCTTAAATTTCGTGCCGTTTGATTGGTATTAAATTGTTGCCGAATTTCTTGAGCTGTGACGCTGGCATATTGTGGTGACGGAATCGTGTTATCTGTTCCATGGGACGTTGTGTTTTGATGACCAGTGACGGGAATTTGAGGAAATGCCAGTGACATTAATGAAGGTATGACATTGGTAGTTGTTGTGCTTGAAGTTGTCGTTGTTGCTGTTGTTGTTATTGGGTTATCTCCTGCTCTCGAAGTTTTACCCCTGGATCTCAAATTTCTTCCTTGTTCCATATTGAATTAATGGGTACCAAACTAAATAAACTTTTACTCAATTTATAGAAACCAAAATTTTCTAATTTCGTGCAAAATTTCTAGAAAAATCTAAAACCTAAGTTCCTGCAGATTCTCATAAAATTATTTAATCTAAAAAATGTAATGAAAACTGTTGAAAAGTGAAATGTCGTATAACTAAATACTTTTGTTTGAGTAAACAAGCAAATAAAACAAAAGACTTAAGAACCAAACTTGAAAATGTTTGAATATTAAGGTACGAAAAGGATTACCAATTATAAAAGGAAAAGTATATAAATCTTAAACCTATAAAAATAATTTAATTAATTCCTACTAAAAAAATATTTAGGACCAGTAAAGGAATAGAGTAGATATGTGTACCAATCAGTTTTCAGTCAGCGTTTTTATAGTTTAAGTAATCTGATATTGGCAATGTTAGACACAACACATCAAAAAGGTCACAAAACAAAATTGACAAGATGACTAAAAGTTTTAGTATAGTACAATCAAAATATAACGTGTTAGTTTCTATGTTATGTTTATTAGTTAAATTGTTTGTTGTTGTTTCTTAATTATTAATTTTATTATTGTTATTGTTTCTAAATTATTAATTTTATTCCCTTTTCTTTTTTGATTTTAGGTATTGATGATTGGTTGATGTGAATCAATGATGTTGCTGGTAGTTTTTCTGTTTTGATTGTTGACTCCTTGGATCAGTTTATGTACATTTTTAAGTAATATGAAATTAATCATAAGTCAAATGTTCAAACTGTTCAACTTAAAAAAAATATAAATTTTATCGATATTTTCCTTTGGAAAATTAAATAAAATTCGTTTGCATAGATTGAAATGATGTTAGAGGTGTTTTCAATATAAATATATTTTGCTGTCAAAACTCGGACTAAATAGAGTACACAGGACAATATCACAAAAAGAGAACTTTTCAAATCTCATCGAAAGGAATTTGTTAAGGTCGCAAATAAACACAAGACTTTTAGTCGTATGGTTTATGACATACCTTAAAAGAAACATTCAGATTGGAATTGATTAGCTCCTCAATATTTTAATGGTTACAAAGTAAACGCCGCAACACAGGCATGGTGTTATAAGTATGACACCTTCCGGGACTTGCGTTTAGTAAATAAACATTAATATATTGTAGCATATGGCATTTTTTTTTTTTTTAAATGCTCATGCGTTGGGCGCCAAAATGTGACAAAACTTTACTTCTAAGTGGAAATGGCACGCAGGTGGTTGCACGACGCTAGCTCGTCGGAATTGGTAGGTTCTTTCCACTACAGTTGGTCACATTTAAATCTATCGTGCCAATGTAAAACCGATCAGTAACATATAGTAATCACGAATTCACCATGGAGTTGAAGTTTCTATTAAACGGACGGACAGATGACAATAGTCTTAACAGCAATCTATGCAATAGACGGTTACACGGAGTCCTTGAAGGAATAGATGTTACAACCTTCGCGGGTTGCCCTCCCCTGACATGACATTATCCCAGTCATCCTTGGTTCCTGTTCACCCGTACTTGAAATTCTAAGAACCCCTAGATCAAACTTACCAGTTCACTATGATTCACATCATTACCTCTTTCCTTTTTATCCTTGCATTGTCAAACACTATGAATATGTTTTCAGATTTCAATCTTAAAAATAGACATTGATTTATTCAAATAACAAAAAAATAAACTTCTAACAATAATAATTAACAACAGAATTATAATATTTAAAACAAATGAGTAACTTAACAAGTTTAGTAAAAGTGGATGATTTTATGATCACAAAAGTTTATATTTATATACATGCATATATTTATAAATGTTGAGATTCTTTTACAATTTCCTTATTTATGTATAATTAAGATAAATGTAAAAAAATGTTTTTATATCAACGATATACCTTTGTTTATTTATATATTAATTTGTTTATATATTTATTTAGCTATAAATTTATTTATTTATTCGTGTATATATTTTATTCATTATTTATTTATTTACTTATTTATTTATTTATTATTTATTTGTTGATATATTTATAAATTTATTTATTTATTAATATATTCATTAATTTATTCATTTATTCGTTTATTTATATATTATTTATTTATTTATTTCTTTGATTTATTTATTTATTTATTTGTTGATATATTTATAAATTTATTTATTATTAATATTCATTAATTTATTCCTTTATTCGTTATTTATATATTTATTTATTTATTTATTTATTTATTTATTTATTTGTTCATAAATTTATTTATTTATTAATATATTCATTAATTTATTCGTTTATTTATTTATTTATTTATTTATTTGTTAGTTTAAATATTATTTTATATTTATTTATTTATTATTTCTTTACTTATTCATTCATTCATTTATTTGTTTATAATTTTTTAATTTTGTATTTATTCTATTTATTTATTTATTTTTATAGTTATCTATTTGTTTATGAATTTAAATATTTTGATGTAGAGTGTGGTGAAACGTGGCTTCAAATATTCTAATAGCATAAATAAACATATCGTAATTTTTTTTATATTTGAAAATTATTATAATGTTAGTAAAGTATTATATTTTGATTTGCTTATTGACTAGATTATTAGGTATAACTATTTTTTTTTTGTTTGACTTAACTAAACTAATTCTTGTAAAAAAAATACTTTGTTTTCTTTTATTTTCATATATATTTTTTTGGGATTTCCTCTTTATCCCTGAACTATTGGTAAGATTCGTATTATGATTTATGAATTAGTTTAGTTAGAGTTATTAATAAATTTATACAAAGGAAAATAGTTTGTTGTATATCGTGAATCTAAGGTAAATGTATTTTTATATGGGTGGATATATTTGCACACACATAGACTTGTGTACATACCTACATATATATATATGTACACATATACATATGTATATACATGTATATACTTTTATATTTTCCTTTATATTTTGATTTCTTTTTTTCTTTTATGATTAATAGGAAATTAATTAGATCGTAATGATTACAATAGAAGTTAATAAATATCAGACTTATTATATAATTGCTTAAAAAAAAATTAAGGTTAAATTTTTAGTTTTTTATATATTTTCTTTTTATATATATATATACTCGAACACACATTCTTTGTACACTTATATACTCTACATATACACTACATTTATATATCTATATATATAATACAGTAACACGTCATTCAGTCAATACATAACGGTTGTGGATCACGTTTTCCTTTCTTATATAGTATATGTTGTAATCACGGTCATCGGATATGACCTTTATAGGTCAATTAGGTCGTTATAATGTCACCAGGTCAATTTTCTTTTGTGCTTACCCAGTTCTTTTTAGTTTGTCACCAATGTTAAAAAAACCTGTATTTTCAGCCTTGGATTTGTCTGGCGTTGTCCGTGCTGTGTGGTGAATTATAACGCTTCTGTATGGTTTTTATCTTTGCTATACAATCTTCGGTATCTTAACACTAGATGGCACTGCAACATTGACAAAATCACCTTCGTAAGAAAAACCAAAATTAATCAACATCCAGTATTTTCCTTGTTTCAATTTGATCATTTAATTTTATACAAACGTCACAATATAATATTCAACGCATAATTAATTCAATAATTATGTGTATTTGTATAAATATTACATAATCAGTGGAATATGTTAAAATTATTTGATTCATTTTCCGAATTTGTTTCATACCTTTTTTAAATATTTATTTTATTGAAGCACTAGTTTAACAGTATTTATTAAAGATGGTGTTATATTTTTTTTATAACTTTGAATTTAATCAATATCACAATTTTCAAATATTTTTACAATAACTTTCATTGGGTTATTTGAGCAAGCACACACTTCGATATCCAATTGTGTAATGATTAATGTGATCTTGTAAAAATGTGTGATTAAGCTTATGTACACATACCATTCCCTTAACTCCCCTCTATTCCCTAATTTTCCTGTTTTTTTACCTTTTTCAATAACATTTTAAGGTCGTTCCCTGATTTTTCGTCAGGTCTGTTATTGTGAATGACCCTTTATCCCCTAAGGAAACGCTACTGCCCTCTATACGTCAATACCCTTTTATGAATATCCATCACGAATGTCAAACAACAATGAAAAAGAAACCGTAGTGTAGAGTTACGAGCGCAGCTGATTGTTATTTGCTTATGTTTTACAAACAAAAATCTAATAAAAGAATATTTTTTAGTGTTTTATCCTTCAAATAAACAGACGTTACCGTCACATGTTTCCACTGAATAGTATATAGATTTATTTCTTAAATGACACCAATTTAAATTTATAATTTTTTATATTTTAATTTCGAAAATAAATGTAATTTTTCGACAAAAACATTCAATTTAAATGGATAAGCCTATAATTGAATTTCTTTATCCTAGACAACAACACAGAGTTGCATATAAATGAAATCTAGTAGATCATACCCCATTTACACTACATCGAAATCTTTTCTTCAAATCTTTACTGTTTACACTTCGTATTTTTGACATTTAGGAAGATTTAAATTTTTTCTAATATTTCTCCAATTGTGTTTAATATGAAAAATTAGAAGGAAATATGGAAATTTACTTGAATTTCATTTAGAATAAAAAATAGATATTTAAATATACATTACCTTCTATTTTAAATTATCTTTTCATTCATGTTTTCCAATTTATTAAAATTTTGTCGACATTTTGATTTTTCTTTGTTTGTTTTGTTTTATCTTTTTTCTTGTGCAGAGTCGTATTTTTTTAGTATTATTTAGGAAAAAACATAGTTGCATTTTTATTTTTACTAGATTTTGCCAAAATCTACTAATGAAGAAGATTTGTTTTGAATGGGAAATCTAGTTAAAATCAACTAGGTTTGCTCGAAATCTCATAAGTACTAGATTTCGCTATAAATGGGATATTAAGTAGATTTGGATATGTCAGAAATGTATGGCAAATCTACATGATTTCAACTAGTTTTGCCCAAATCCACATTACCCCCATGTCAATATTCGACAAATCTATGTGTTTTGAGCAAATCTAGTG